TCGTAAGTTTTTCCGTGGCATTAAAATAGCGGAAAGAAACAGGCGACAGCACCGGGCTGCCGCGGGTGGAGGGAATGAGTAGATACTTGCTAGTCCGTATTTACCCCGCGTCCGCAATTCCCCCACTCTCCCCTACTTGCGGCCGTGAGATATGATATTACGAAATAGAAAACGCCCTTAAAGTTGTTACAGTATTTACAAAACTCAATTTTCCTTTTTCTGTAAGTGCATTATTAAAATGTTTGTATTTTAGAAGTAAGTTCCTTTTCGGGCGGCACAGACTTGGTGGATGAGGGCTAGGTGAAATTGGTGTAAAATCTTACCGTCGCCACAGTGCTGTTCCATTACCATAGATGATGCGGCAGAAAGTATGCCGCCCCCAGCCACCCTCGATTTTTAAAAATCTGTGAATGCACTTCTAGTTATTATTAAAAATAAAATGATGTCTCCTTTCAGTAAAATATCCTATCTTCAATATTTAATAAACTTTCCCTCCGTGTGAGGTAGCCGTGGGACGCCCTGTATAATTAATATATAATAAAAAAAGAATATAATTATTACAAATGAACACCATTGATGGGATAATCTAATTGATTTCCACTTAAAAATACCGGCAATGAGGGAGTCGGACTCGCACACCGTCCACCGAGGGTTCCGTACAAAGCGCCATTATCTTATTTATCTACACACATATCGAAATATTTATTTATACTTTATTGCAAACAGCAAATGGCGGACATAATGCCATAAGGCATTCTTTAAAAATAACGAAATTAAAGATGGTGTTATAAAGACGTACATTATAAACGCACATAGAAAAAATTAAAAATATAACTCATTACAGTACTGCTAGCTGTATCATAAAATAACTCTTGAATCATTATATTACATGTTAATTTTTTAAGTTATTAAATTAGGCTATTGTTAAAAAAGGGGCGCACGCATTCTAAATTCTAAATCATTTACTCCCGCTTCAGCCGAACGTGTTTCGTTTTCGGGATTTCAGAAAAGTTTTGCATAATACTTCTTTGTTACTTTGTTTTAATTTCAATTGTTCCTATGAGTGAAGATAATGTAGTGTATGTAACTGCAAATAATTTAGGTATTAAAACACTTAAGTCAACCTATTATCGCAGATAAACAGACTCTCATGTTTGAATACCCCTTCTTATATGACAGTCGCAAAAACTAAGTACTTTTACGATCAGTGCATTCGCCCGGATTGTGAAGGGTGAGGGTTCGAGTCCCGTATGCTGCCTGGTCCGCGTGGTTTTATTTCTATTAAAACTTTTCTCTAGATTTAAACATCTAGCAGTTAACGCTTTAAAAAAAACTACTCTTACGATATTCGATTTTTTACTTTATTTATTTATGATGTATGTCAGTACTTACTGACAAGTAGGCATAAAGCCTCCCACAAAAGCGCGTTATTATCAGTTAATAATATCGGATGCGTTTTTGCGATATTTGTGTTTAGTACAGTATTTATGAGAACGTCTACGAAGTTACTCACAGATGCGATAATAAAGACGCAATAGAAGTATGAGGAAATATCGCAATAGCGTATCGCATCCAATATTATTGACCGATAACCTATAGGCAGGACGGGAGGCTTCAAAGGCAAAAATAAGGTAATTCTTACTCCCTTACGAATGACAAAATTTTTCAGATGTATGTAATTATTATTGTTGTTATCGATTCTTGACCAAAAACCAAAACGGTTTTTAAAACCGAAATCCGTGCTTATGAAACCGTTTTATCACTGAATCTTTTCGGTTTTTTAGTACGGAACGCTAAAAATCAATTAAATTCATCCATCGCATCGTGATTAAATAAAGATCCGGACGTAAAATCTTAATGATTTCAAAGAATTGGCAAATGTAATAAAAATTGGAATAGATTTTGTAGCGTCAGCGTTTACTTTGTATCAAGAATACGCCGAGCACAGAATTTACAGCTGACGCACATAAATATTAGTTAGAAAAATTAGTATATAAGATGTAAATAATAATAAATTACGCTCTTAGTTATCAAGCGACACACTGGCTGTTTCATTCCTCATCTCCCGGCACTAGGAGCCAAAGATTTATATTAATATATTTCCTTTTTCATATAACAGTGACTGAATACTCGTGTATGTTTTTAACAGGTACTTTGATAAAAACAATATAATATGTTAATGATCACGAAGCAGCAATAACATTTGCTTTTTAATATATAAAGTCGGTACCTTAAGTATGTAACATAAACATAAATAAATTCCGCGTAAGTCAGATTAATATCTGACTAAGCGGTAGTTCGAGACTTATACGAGGGCAGTTCCCGAAAGGAGATTGCTCAGCTTCCATACATGTTTGGCCTAAAGACCAATAATCATGAAAAATTGTTTCCTAGATTCGAAATTATATATATACTGTAGAAACGAATATTATTGACGGACACCCCTGAGAACTTCTATAAACCATATACACTGAACATATTAAAAAAATAAAAAACAAATAAGTTATATAGTAAACTAGGAAAATCAAGCCAAGTACCGAAATTATGGATTAGATTCAGGTATATAGAGCATGTAGATTAACAGATAGTTGTCTGTTTTTAAAGTTAATGCTTAAGAGTAACTTTTAAAGACAGAAACTGTGTTATGATTGTGAATGAGCCCCAGATTAGAGAGAATTTTTAAACTCTCGTTAACCAAAGAAAGCTAAGAGACTTAGGTTCTATAGCCATATATTCAGTAGCTTCATTATTTTTGTTATATTTTTAAGATAACCATATTTTAGATTTTTAGTGTATCACACCTTATAATTTTATTTATTTAAAAATTATAGTCAGGGAACGTAGGCCCATAGATAGATACCTTAAAGTCTAATATATATACAGATTATAATATGTTTATGGAGGTGTTTGGCGAAAAATGTATGGCAATAGACTTTATGATGTCGCCTACCATCTATAATAATAGTCTGAGCACATTTGCATCTAGTGAAAATGATAATATAGTTGTGGATATTAATACCACAGTGTAATAAAAAAATGATTTATTTTATCGATCTTTACAAAATAGATTTGTTTTTATGTTACTCGTATATAAACAACTTCGAACTTCTTCAGTCTTTGGCTGAATGTTACTACACCCATAGCCATTAAAAATGATTCGTATGTTTTCCAAACCGGTCAAATTAAAAGTTCTTTTTAATGTAAATATATTATACAAAGGTGTCCGTTGAAATCTAATGACTGTAAATTAAATTATAAATTACGTCAAGAATTACCGTGTATGTCAATATTTTTTGTGCATTTGGGCCAATTTGAGCAATCTCCTTTTGTTTCGATTGTCGGCCAATCTGTAAGTTAGTGACATTAGTGATAGCGATTAAAAGTGAATAATTGTTCAGTTTTTCATGATGGAAATTTGGTTAGCACTTGCTGACTTTGGAACCAACAAATAGCATTGAAAGGATCTTAAGAAAGTACTTGCTATTTACGATTTATAAACAGAAAATTAAAGAAGGCTATAATGATTTTAGTTTAGATTTTGGTCACACAATTGTACTGGCAAAAATAGAAAAATGATAATGCTTTTTTATGCACTTTTATACAGCAAAATAGCTTAATATTAATGTAAGAAACTAGAAGTATTTTATTAAGAAAGGACATACCCAAAATGAGGCTGATTCCACACATGCTATATTTGAACGTCGTCGTCGTTGACATCAAAACGTAAGAATATCTACATGTCTGAATGGAGCTCATTAAAACGACGATCCAAAGTTATTTATATCTTCAAAATATCGCAGGCAAGTGTTTCCTACATATGGACTAAAAACTCGATAGGAGAAAAAGATTTTTGGACTAAGATCAAACATTCGTGTCAGTAAAGATGAATAAAACATTTTATTTTACAAACCAGATCTACTTAAAAATGCAATTGAATGCAATATTAACATTTATTCACTTAATTTATGTTACAACCAGTTAATACTACTACAACTATATCAAAAAAGCCTTGAATGACATAAGTCTTAAGAAATTATTGGATCATGGATGATCATGATGGCTATTATGAAAATTAAGTCACATTATATTAATGGTAACATATGTATGAATGCGAGTGATGATGATGACAATTAGTGATAATATTCTATTTTTTGGAAATTTATATTTAATTTTTCAATAGTTATATTTGAAGTACAAACATATAATATTATATTTTAATTTTAATAATAAAGAAGTATATAAAATTTAATATATAAACTCTTGAAAATTGGACGAGATTGTCTTAGTCATTGAATTTTATTTAATAGTTATGTGTTTATGATGAAATATAGTGAAAACAATACTCCCCAGGTTTAAGAAACAGCAATTCAAGAAAGTTTAGTGCTAATATTGCATATCAGTTTATTTCTTCAAGTATCTGTTGACAGTTTGATGAGAACTTGATGGGATGTTTATTCAAAATCCTTGCATTGATAATTCGCGGTATCAATTTATCATAAATATCACTATATAATGTCACTGTGTATTTATACACAAGTGCTAAAATTTTACAAGTGCACACTTCAGTGTTGCCAGTCGTTAAAATATATTTTCAAGTGTGTGAATATTTGTGTAGTTTATATATACATATATATGTATAGTTTTCTTTTATTTTATAGAAAAAAAATCTAGTAAAAAATTCTTAAGATTTAAACATCTAAATCATCAGCAGAGTTAAATGCTTAAAAAAATTAAAAATACTGTTATTTTATCCATTCAACTTTTGATAATTTTCACAAAACTTTTTTCTTGTATTCCGTACTACCTCCATTTTTATTATTTTCTTGCTTTCATTTTTTTCAGTTCATTGGGTTGTCTGGAAGAAATCGCTGATAAGCGATAAAACCCCCTCTTTATGCAGCTGTTATTTGATTTGCCTTATTTTGTATTTTATTTATGTTCTTAAAGTTATAGTTGTGCAATAAAGTGTTTATCTTATCTTAGCTTATTTTTGATTTCAGATATCAGAGCTGTCTTTCGTTTCCATTATATTTCATGGTAAGTAGCTAAAACGCAGTCCTCGAAGTAGTTTTTAATATAAAAGTTTATTTTTTCTTTTGTCGCACCTGTATTCCAAAAAAAAAACACTACTGTAACATTTCCAAAAGGTTTGCCCACCGCTGAGTGGAAGCTCAGTTAAATTAAACTTATTTATGCAATGGCTGTGTAAGTTTTAATGGTATGTATGTCCCTAAATTTAGAAACATAAAATAACGTGTTCATTGTCTACATAACAAACAAGCTTTGAAGTTATAATTTGGCGGGAATATCACACATAGCTTAGTATTCTTAATTGCACCAATATTCTGAATTCAAATTTAAACTTAATCTACCTTAGCACAACTTCATCTGTGTCAACTATTTGAATTCAAGAGTTTTTTTTTATTTTGAACCGACTTCAAAAAAGAAGGAGGTTCAGTGTTCGACTGTATATTTTTTTTTTATGTATTATCACCGACTTCTCCGTCAATTGTTGACCGATTTCCAAAATTCTTTTTTTATGGTGGGCTCAAGATTGGAACATTAAATAGATTTTCGTTTCTGATCGGTAATAAAACGTCTTTCAATCTTTACCCGCCCGACTTCCAAATCATGAACCAGATATTATTTTTTACTTTTTAGTTGCGTTTTCGATTTTGAAGTCGGTTTTTTTTTTGTTTAAATTGTTTTCGATTTTCATTCGAGAGAAGTAGGTTAAAATATATGCTTTGTTTTTAATTTTATTAAGAACTTTCATGCAAATAACTATCAATTGCATAAAACCTTCCTCCCATAGGCGCGTTATTACCGGTCTACAATATCGGATGCTTTTTTCAATCGCTATTTTTAGTACATTATGGATATAAGGACGGCTACAAAGTTACACACTGCTGTGATAATAACGATGCAAAGAAGTATAACGAATTATCGCAACTAACTGATCCGATATTATCAACCGATAATAACGCGCCTATGGTTTGAAGGGAGGGAGGAGTTTGGTTGGACTAACAAAATAGCTCTTAGTCTCAAAAAAATATAAAAAAATGTGAAAGCCCATCGTCTACAAGTTGCCCAAGCCCTGTCATTCGTTTATCATGAGCTGTTCAATAAATAAATAGTCTGCGCGAGATATTAAGAAACAATCATCCATATTTCACGTGAATTTTTAATTTGTTCCCTATCACACCAACTCGAAAGTTTCCCGATGCGGTTGACGCATGGAAAGTGATAAATTGACGTCTGCCAGTTTGCGAGTTGGCTAAGTAATTTCACTCAACTTTTGGCGGTAGAAACTTTTGACACGAACAATCGACTTGATCACGGTCGCGGTTTCAGTGGTGACACATGCAATAGCAAACGTAGGTAAGTACTTAAGTGATATCTTCCTTTTTTTGGTTCAGTGAAATCCAAATCAAACAAAATTTTCTAGTGTAAGTCTGCAGATAATGATTTCTGGGATAGATGCACAAAAATTTTGATGTAGGCCGTTTACTTGTTTACAATGCCAATGTTCTACCAGAGCTCATCGGTACTGGTCCATTCAGATAACCTCTGCATAAAACATGCGGGTATACGCAGAAGCTGGCTGGTAGCTGACGTGCAAAATATCGAGGTCATTAGACGAAGCTTTCTTATCGGAGCAGATCAGAACTTGCTGGCAACGTTTGGCGCTTATCAGCACAAAGTATAGAGATTGCCTCCGCTGACTAACTGCGCGGGCGGATTCAGATAATCGCTGCAAATCAGTGCCGGTAGCTAGTTTTCTACGTGTTTGGTAGAAATTGGGCAAGTATTATTGTAAGAAAGGATACCCTTCCGATAAACCTAACAACCAGATGATCAACTAGAGGATTATACAAACTTGTTTAATGCTGAACATATAAAATGGACTCCATATCGCTAAAGATAAGCTCAAAAGAAAGAACACCAGAAAGAAGACTGTCAGTTTTGGGGAAGCAACCTCCATCTTACACTTAAGACCACAGTGAAATTATGCTACGCTAAGCATACGCTTCTTTTGGTGGGCAGGGCCGTCTTTAACCTAATGAAGGCCTTGGGCATATTAGGATAATGGGGCCCCTATGACTGTGATGTGAATTATGACTTGAAATGGAGCGAGTCATACTGATGATTTTTCTTTAAATGTGTATGTGCTTAGTATACTCTAATTTATCTAAGCATGCTGAAGTCGTAAAGCCTAATTTTTGGGCGAGAGTAGCTTCGCTTATGTAAAAGCTAGTAAGTAGTGGTATTGTAGTCAGTAATTTAGGTTCGATTTCATCGAAATAAGTTTTTTGGTAATAAATATTGGTTAATATACAATTGGCTAACAGGAACTAGGGACTTTGTATTTGACATGAGGGGGGACATAATCGATCGCGGGGCCCTGGGCACTTGCCCAAAGTGCCCACTGGGAAAGAGGGGTGGGGTTAGGTTTCTGTCGGTGAGTAAGTTTCCAGGATTCCACAGGGCAAAGAATGTGGTCAGGGTATGCAAAGGTACGAGTGATATTTTTGGTACCTATAGCAATATAGTGATATTTTCGGTATTGTATCTTGAGGCTTTGGTTACCACCCTTTAACAGAAATAATCCCACAAACACTGCTCTACTATGTGACCACGTCGCTTGGCAAATTACCGGATTATAGCCTAAATTTTAGCACAATATCTACAAGCAAAGTAACATCATAGCAATAATATGCCGAATCAGAGAAATTATATCGCTAAGCTAAGTATTTCTAAGGACCACCCATTAATCGTTAGCAAGTTGCCAGTTTTGTCCTCAATGACTTATGGCCTACCTAAAAAGCAATCATTACAATAACAAATTCGCTAAGGCTTAGACCACACTGAAGCTTGACGGCGCAGGACTACACTGCGTTCGACCTGTATTGTAAAAGTCAAGCAACTTTCGCAATGGTCGCTCATTAGATGGGCCAAAAACTCATCATCTCGAGCTTCTGCGTACTTCGGAAGGCACGTTAAGCTGTTGCCTGGATGCAACTGCAGTCTTTAGCATCCACCAACCCGCACTGGGACCGCGTGGTGGGTCATGGCCCAACCTCCCAATTCCATCCATAGGGAAAGTGGGACATTAGTACCTAAACCGTCAAACTATACGAGTCACTTTGCTTGGCAAGTCATCACCTCGCCTAGGGAAGTGAATCCGTGGTGTGACTCAGGTGTGAGTGGTATGTACGCCGTTTCACGGTATCGCCTACTCAGAGATCCTGGGTTCGAACTTAGATGGGAAAAATTTTTGTTTGATGAATACGAGCATTTGTACCTAAGTCATGGATATTTACAATTATTCCTAGATAAATATACTTTATGTACGTATCAATATATCAGCTACCCTAGTTCTAGTCCCATAACACAAGCCGTACTCTGGTTACTTTAGGGCTAGGTTAATAGGTTCAGAACTTACGGCGCGATTTTCTACCGCGCCTCGCCCGGTACAACTCGCATAGAACTTGTAATGTAAAAATAATGTGTGCACGGACCACATATCTGAAATGAAACTTCTTTTCTTATATAATATAACATGAGGCGGTGCATAATGCATAGGGGAATGGAGCAGCGCACGCATCACTCATATATAATATATATACAGGGTTACAGGGAAAGTCGTACTGAATATTGAAGGACGTTATTATTCAGGTCATTTCTGATGGATTTGGTCCTATAATATGGTGTCCAAAACTTAACCGTTATGGAGATACTGGATATTAAAGATTTTTTTAAAAAACCCTATATCTTTTGGGTTACTGTCGATTTTTTTGAAATTAGAGCTCCAAAGGTCCGATTTTTTATTGAATCTAGTTAGAAGACATGTCAAGCAATAAAAATTATTACTTCTAACGGCTTAAAAAAACTGCTCGACAACGGTTATAACTAAAGAATTTTCACCAAGTGTTGTTAACTTTGAAGCGCTTTTCTAAAAAAACATGTATGGAACTTATTCTGCAAATAATTTTAAAAACTTCTACGTCTCTTTAGCTATTCAAAAAGGTATAACACTTGCTAAAATATAGGATTTTTTAAAAAAATCTTTAATATCCAATAACGGTTAAGTTTTGGACACCATATTATAGGACCAAATCCATCAGAAATGACCTGAATAATAACTTCCTTCAATATTCAGTACGACTTTCCCTGTAACACATATATTGTCGCGTGTGACTCTCGTGAGGCTCGTAGCGTTTCAGCCTTCGTGAGTTACCCTCCAACTTTCATGCTCGTCGGGAAGAGCTGCGCACGCATCCCAAACACACACACACACAGGATTTTTCCATTTACATCCCGTCCGAAAATAAGATTCACTCGAAAAACTCGCGACACGATTTGCACCCGCTGAGCGCGCGGGTGTTTGCGGCACCCTAGAGATGCGCGACTTCGAATAATACTACTACTAATCATTCGACTCCACGAATCATTCGACTAAGTCGACTGCGCTTTATATAAATATCATTTTCAAATATCATTCGACGGGAGTCAAAGGTAGCGGGCGGCGCGCGTCGCACGCAGTGACCCGCAGAATACATTACCAACGACTAAATCGACTGACGTGCGTGACTAAGAGAACGAACCAGGTTGACTCAGGCTTGGTCAATTTACCGGATAAATAGGTATTCTGTCACAATCAAATCAAGCAATAATAAACAAATTCACTGGTTAGTATAGTTATCACTGCGTCAGAGTAACAGCAAATTCCAGTCTCGTGAGTTTTGAAATAAAACCGCTGCGGTCGCCCGCAGCGGGTGCGGAAAAATAGTGCTCCATTAGCTGTGTTAAAAATATTTATTTTTTATTGGAACCAAGATAGAGAATACAATAAATGTGCACGGTAATAATTGCTTTAGTTATAAAAACTGTGTCGCAGCTATTAAAGCCCACCTCTGAGAGCACATTGAAGTTCCATAATATACAAAGAACAAACAATATATATATTATTTAAGCAAATTAAACATTCTACTAAATTAAGGTATCATTTAAAAGAGAGTATTTTATGTGTGTTT